AATACCTATCACCGCATGGTAACAGAATGGATGGAACATTCCCTTAGGGCCACCAATTCCTTTTAGGCCAGCCAGCCTCCTTTGGGCCCACACTATGGCTTCTCCCTGGTTCCTAGGGCCAGGATGGCTTTCTGGGAAAACCAAACCCAAATCAGTCTTGTGTTTGTCCTACCTGAGAGGAACTGAAACAAAGGCAAGGCTGGCCCAGGATGCCTTGGCCAGAGCCTAAGGAGGAATCACCCTTTATCCTGCTGGCTGTGACTCCTCCTGTCAGCAACACCAGAAGCCCTCACACTGCCTGTCTCCAGGGACAAACCCAAAAGTGTACTGGTCTCAAAGTCTTACTAGATCCCTCTTAGTTATCCAATAATGAATGTCTGTTCTTCCTCCCTAAGTCCGGTTTAAATACAAACACATAAAGAGAACACTCCAAGGAAATCATTTGTTTCTGTGTAGTCTCTGAAGACCCCACTAATTCTTTTTCCTCAGGTTCTTTTATTTTATTTTTACCACTCTAATTTCTAATTTTCCTCAGGTCCTTTTAGTTTATTGTTTATTTATTTGTGGGGAGCTAGTTTGTCTCTCAAACACCCTCCTCATTCTTTCTTGTGCCTGCAGGCTTCCCATTCCCCCCTGCAGGGCCTCCCACTCCCATCCACATCCCATCTCCTCAGAGCAGCTCCTTCTGCTCCTTGCCCTGATGAACAAGTGCTTGTACCAGTGTCTCCCCAGTCCTTGTCCCCACATGGGACTCAAGGTAGAGCTGGACAGGCAGGTGCCTGCCACCCTTCCCATTGCTCATTTGGAAGCTTACACCCAGAAGTTCACCTAAGTCACGTGTGCTATGAATGACTGTTGAATGTAAGCCTCCCACAAGAAGAAAGGGGCCTCTGTGAGAATACTGACTGCACCAAACATGTCAGGGACAGGAAGTCTGGTTCTCCTGACAGAGGAAGTATATCCTGACCCAATGAGAAGGAATTCCTGTGCTCATTTCCCACCACACTTCCTCTCTCCTCAGCTTGGGAGCACCCGATGGGAATATGAACCAGGGCAACAAGAGCAGGCATTGACCTTGACTGTTCTAACCTGGGGGGGCCATGTGTGTGAGCTCATGTGGTCCACAAAACTACGCTGCTTCCCCAATGCGTCCAGAAACCTGCAGATGGGATTTCTCTGCAAGGATGATCACTGTAAGCAGGTCCGTGTGAATCTGGGCCCCAGAGACTACACACTTACCGATTCTAAAATGTGGATTTTGTTCACATTTTAACATTTCAGTAATTAGGATATATTTTAGAATGACAGTGAGTCGTTACTTCTGGCAGCACTTTTGCTTTCTTAGAGATACTTAAAACAATGTTTCTAATCTAAATTTTAGATTTAGTGAAATACATTATATGCACTAGTGTAAAGGATCTTGGAACCCCATACACAGAGGCCAAAGCTAGAAGGCAGAGGCAGGTGGGAAGACAAAGGTCCTCCACATTCAGAGCACACACAGCGGCACTTAATTACATGAATGGAGCAAACTTAGGCTTTTTTCTGAGGTTCTGGAATTTGGACTCAGGCCTTCAAATTTGTTAGGCAGGCACTCAACCACTTGAGCCACACTTCTCCAAACTTAGGAATCTAACTCAGGCTCAGGACAAAAATGGGGGAAAGGGTGGGGGAAAGGGGGGAGAAATAACCCAAACATTGTATGCACATATGAGTAAAAGAAATTAAAAAAAAAAAAGAACAAAAATGGATGTACATATACAGAAATATAAAGAAAGGCTGAAAATGTTTCTTTTGCAAAGAAAAGACTATTGTGTTTAACTTACTGATAGTGGAGAAGCAAAGCTCATTTTACATTCTATTTCATGTATTTTCAGATTTATATCAACGGATTCACATTTATAAAATGCTCCTTCTATGCTGTGTATACCATGGGCAAAATGCAAGGAATAAAAATATGAATAAACAACTCAGTATCCCAGGTATTCAGACCAATAACAGAAACAAAAATAACTCGATAGGATAGAAGACTGCAGTAGCAGGAGTAACTGATTCTTCCCAGGAATTAAGGGAACAATTTCAAGAAAAGGGAGAACATTTAAACCAGGGCAGAAGTTGTCCAGAAGGAAGAGTGCAGGCAGGTACAACTTGCAAAGCCAGCCATAGTGGAACACACCTATAACCCAGTACCAAAGGTCTGAGGCAGGAGGATAATGAATTTGAGGCCAGCTGAGTCAATAAACATAAGACAGCACACAAACAGAATCAAGGACAAAAATTACATCATCATCTCAATAGATGCAGAGAATGACTTTCACAAAATCCAGAATCCTTTCATGATAAAAGCACTGAAGAAACTAGAAATAGAAACATGCTCAACATAACAAAGGCTACATACAACAAACCGGTAGCCAACATCATACTAAAATCTGAAATCATTTCCTTTGAAGTCTGGAAAGAGACAAGGGTATCCCCATTCTTATTCAATATAATGCTTGAAATCCTTGTCAGAGCAAAGGGGCAAGAGAGAGAAATGGAAGAAGTCAAATTATGTGTATTTGCAGATGATATGATCCTATACTTAAAAGACCCTAGATTCCATCAAAAATTTTTTAGATATGATAAATTCTCTTAACAAAGTAGCAGGATGCAAAATCAATATATGAAAATCAGTAGCTTTTCTATATACAAATAACCAACAGGATGAGAAAGAAATCAGGAAAACAATCCCATTCACAATAGGCTTTAAAAAAATTAAATACTTAAGAATAAACCTAAACAAGGAGTTGAAAGACCTCAACAATGAAAACTATAAAACCTTGAAAGGAACTGAAGAAGACACCAGATGCTAAGACTTCCAATGGTCTTGGATCAGCAGAATTAATGTTGTGAAAATGGCTATACTACTGAACGCAAACTATAGATTCAATGCAATTCCCATCAAAACCCAAATATCATTCACAGAAATAGAGCATAGCTCATGTGGTAGAGCACTTGCCTAATAAGCACAAGGTCCTGATTTTACACTCCAGTACTGCCAGAATAAACAGAAAAATCAATCCTAAAATTCATATGAAAATATAAAGACCCCAAAATAGCAAAAGTAATACAGAGCAAAAGAGCTGGAGGTATCACAATGCCAGACTTCAAATTATACTATAGCATTATGGCAATAAAAAAAAAGCATGGTACTGGCACAAAAATAGATACTTAGACTAAAAAAATAGGAGATCCAGAAATATATCCACCCAGTTACAGCCATCTTATTTGTGACAAAGGATACCAAAACATATGTTAAAGGCAGCCACTTCAACAAATAGTGTTGTGAAAACAGAATATCCACATGCAGAAGACTGAAACTAGACTCCTACCTCTCATCCTATACAAAAAATTAATTCCAAAATGGATTAAAGGGGACTGGAGGGGTGGCTTAAGTGGGAGAGCACATGGCTAGCAAGAATGAAACCCTGAGATCAAATCCCAGCTTAAAAAAATAATCAAAGATTTTAGTGTCAGACCTTTTGAAATGACTACAGGAAAACAGGGAAAATACTTGAAGATAAAGGCATAGACAATTGTCCATTTTCTAAACCGGACTCAAATTGCCCAGGAAGTAAGAGTAAGAAGTGACAAATGGAATTACATCAAATCAAAAAGCTTCTGCACATCAAGGGAAACAATTACCAGAATGAAGACAACCCAGAGAATGGGAAAAAATCCTTGCAAGTTATTCATCAGATAAGGGATTAATATGCAGAATATGTAAAGAGCTCAAACAAAATTAGACACCAAAAGAATAATCCAATTAATAAATGGTCAAATGGATTGAACAGACAGTTCTCTACAAGTGAAGTACAAATGACCAATAAATACATCAAGCAATGTTCCACACCTTTATCCATAAAGGAAGTGCAAATTAAAACGATAATGAGATTCTATTTCACCTGGTCAAATGGCAATTAACAAGAAAGCAAACAACAAATGCTGGTGAAGATGTGTGGGGTGGCGAGGGGAGGAACAAGGAACCCTCACACACTGTAGGTGGGAATGTAAACTAGTGCAACCACTATGGAAATCAGTACGGAGGTTCCTCAATAAACTAAAAATATACCTATCTTATGACCTCACCACACCACTCTTGGGGATATATCTGAAGGCGTGTAAATAAACATACAAGAAAAGCACCTGCACACCCATGTTTATTGCAGCACTATTTGCAATAGCCAAGCTATGGAATCAGTCTAGGTAACCAACAACTAATGGATGCATAAAAAATTGTGGGTTATAGACACAGTGGAGAGTTATTCAGCCATGGGCTTGAGGAGTGGCTCAGGTGGTAGAGGGCCTCCCTAGCAAGTATAAAGCCTTGGGTTCAAACCCCAGTACTGCCAAAAAAAGAAAAGAAAAAATAGAGTATTATTCAACCATAAAGAAGAATGCTGTTGTTTTGCTGGAAAATGGATGGAATTGGATATCATCATGTTGAGCAAGATAAACCAAGCTCAAAAGGCCAAATATCTTGTGTTTTCAAGAATCTAGACCTAAAATGTTAGTAACAACAACAATGGCAATGGGCATAGAAGGGGAACCATCTGGGGGAGGGGGAGTTAGTGGGAGGGAGGAGGAGGAGAGAGGGTAGTGGGGTTGAACATTATCACATATATACCTGTATATGAAGATGCATAATGAAACCCACTAAACACTGCTTGAAGAAAGGAGGGCTGCGGGTATAAAATAGAGGTTGTGAATTTGATCAAAGTATATTGTATGCATCTATGGAAATATGACAATTGTAGAATTAATATATGCTAACTTGGAAAAAGGCATGGAGCAGGGTGAGACTCTCAGGAGGAAATTCTTGGATAGTGTGTGTGAGCAGTGGGGAGGCATGGGTTATGAGGCTAGGGAGGCTTGGAGGAGACAGCTCCCAGGCGACAACATTTGAGAGTGTACTGGACAAAGTTCCACAGGCTGGCCCCTTCCGTTCCCCATGCCCTTACGTGGAGTCCAGCAGGGTCCCATCCAGAAGGGAGGCGTTGTAGTGATACTTGAGGTAATCGCCCTTCTTACTCAGCACAGAGCAGTCAGGGGGCTTGTAGTGGGAGGTGATGCTGATGGAGTCCGAGGGGTTGTGGAAGTCAATCACATGGATATCAAACACCAGCACAGCGGAGCCCGGGATGTTCCCTAAGGGACAGACAGAACGAATGAATGGATCCTGCAGGCTCCGGCACATGGTCGCCCCAGTATCACCAGGCATGTCCTGCAGCCCTACTGGGAGGAACCCTCATAGGTACGTAATCAAAAGAATTGAGAGTAGAGATGTGAACAACATTCAGAGCACCATTGTTCACAGCAGCCAAAAGGTGGAAACGATTGCTGGGTAGTCGGGTAAATAAATAAATGGATAAATAAAATGCAGTATAGACCTACAAGGGAACACTCATCCAATCATAAAAAGTAATGAAATTTTGATGCATGCTAAGCAAGGGAAGGACCTTGAAAACTATCACGAAGCTAGCACAGGACAAATACCATCTGATTCCGGAAGTACCTAGAATAGGCAATTCTGAAGAGCAGAAAGCAGGATGGTAGTTGCCTGGTAGTTGCTGGGGAGATTGTGGAGTTATTATGGAATGGGCTCAGTTTATGCCAGGGGATGATACAAGAGTTTTTGGTGTACATGGCAGTGACGGTTATCACAACATTGTGAACATGTTTAATGTCACTGAATGGTACAGTGAAGTACTGGCTATGGTTAGGGTGTGGTGGTGCTGTAATCCCAGCGCTTGGAAGGCTGAGGAAGGAGGATGTTGAGTTCAAGGTCAGCCTGGGTTACTTAGGAAGACCCTGTCTCAAAGAATAAAAACAAACAAAAAACTCATAAAGGGGCTGGTGGAGTGGCTCAAGTCATAGAGTGCCATCCTAGAAAGTGTGAGGCCCTGAGTTCAAATGCCAGTACAAAAAAAGTTCACAAAAGGCCAAACCCTCTTCCACTCAACCCTACTGGTAAACTTTGAGTTCCCCAGGAGACTCTCACCTGTGACCAGCACCAACATTTAAGAACCACTGGACTAGAGAGGGACCAGGCACTGGTATGTTTGAAAAAGTTTTCCAGGGTGTCTCGCAGACGACCAAGTTTAAGGATCACTACATTACAGGTTCTGCAAGTGAGTATCTGACCTTTCCCAAACATGGGACACAACTAGGCAGAGGCAGATCTACCAAATGTGACCAATGCAAATATAATAAATACCCTTCCATAGTGCTCATGGTGCAAACCCAACAGCCTCTGCCCTGCTTCCATCCCTGGGAGCTGCCACCAGCTTATCAAGCACTCTCTCTGTAACTAGCTTGGCTTCAGCTCCAAGAATGGCAGGCACAGTAGAGGGTTCTGATCAGCCGAGAGGCCAACTCACACCCACACTGCATTTAGCCTCAGGTTTGACAGTCTCCCAGGTGCCTGGTTAATTCTGAAGCACAAACACACATCCAGCAAGGGCATGAGCAAGGCTGCAAGCCCTGAGGGCAGGGAGTTACGTTTGTCTTGCTCTCTGATGAGTTCCACCACCACCCAGGACCTGGTTGTGAAGGCACTCCATGGATGTTTGGTGAACAAGCAGATGGGAGTTTCTGGGCCTGCAAATCAGAGAGCAGACCATAAACCCTAAGACTGGGCCTAGAGCAGCAGGCAGCCAGCAGGCCTCTTACCCCTCCATCTTGCTCTGACTTCCACAAAGCTACCTATCGATTAGGTGTAGAAATGAGTACCCACCAGCAAACAGTTGTGAATAATCCATCATTTCATGAAATGAAAAGGCCTCAACACCAGTCTCCTCTCAGAAAAAGCCCTTCACCAATGCAGAAGTAGTCACTTCATTTCCACACAAGAATGCCCCCCTCCAGAAGAGACACAGATGACAAGAAAGAAAGGCAGCCAGCTGCCTTGCCCAACAGGAACCTCTTCTGCTGCCTGTGGGTTTCTCAACAGCTCGGGATGTCTGGACTGAGTTCTCAGGTGCCCAAATATGGATAGCAACAAGTCACTGCCTAACGGAAACACATTCTTCCCATCTGTCTATGACTCGCCAGATCAGAAAGCCCTAGGTTCCTCACTAATTAGCCCTTGTGGCAAAGGACTCAATTTCTATGGGCCTCATAATTTTATCTAAACAATGAAGATGATAACACTTTGGATAACTGTTTCCAGGTCAAATGAGCTAGCATGCAGAAAGTCCCACACGTAGAATGGGCAAAACCGCACTGATTTTCTTCACCCTCCTTCCTAAGAGTGCTCAAAAGGCAATCTGGAAGTTGGGTGACAGCAAACCATCAGGGAAATGACACTTGTCCAATACTGCAGACAGAATGCATTCCCCACTTCTGTACCACATACACACCTAAGCTTCCTAATTTCAGGTCTGTCCTCATGGAATAGAGCAGACAGCAGGAAAAAAAACTCTTCCAGAAGGTCTACCCTTCTTCTACCAATCCTGCAAAGGAAAGGGGTACAACAAAATGAAATGCTGTCAGAAGTGGAGAGCTGTGGAGAGGCCACAAATAGTGTTATGTGCCTAGCCCTCTGGTATGTCGTGAGGAAGCCAGAAACTAGACAGACCTGACTCCCAACACCCACAGGGATCAGCAGCGGGGCATACGCAACCCTCACTAAAAGGCCCTGGGTGCTGATTAGTAGAGGGCAGAGCAGGACCTGCCCATGAGCACCTAGGTTTTCCACGCCAGGCGCCCTCTCCAACGCGTGATTCAGAATGAAGCAGTCTCATGCTCAGACAATCTACGAGCCTTGGGATGCCACACAGAGCCCCATGCCATTCTTCACAGAGCTCTGTCTCATACTTGATGGAGAGCCAAAAGGAGACAATAATTTAAGCAGATGGTTTCCATCAGTGCATTCTTTTCAGAGAAAGGACATATAACGAAACAAAAATAATAAGAAGGCATTTATCTGTTTTTATATGTATTTGGCCAGAAGTAGAAATTAATACAAAATCACAGCATGAAGACGCTAAACAAATGACATGAAGCAATGCCTAGCGTGTATTTCTTAAGCCATGATCTCTTATGTTGTGTAAGTCAGAAATTGAAGTCAGGGAAGAAATGTTTCTCTATAGCATACACTAGTTTCCAACCAACTTGATGCTTCTTAGGTCCTTGGGAGGAAGCCCTTGGGAAAATTCCCAAGATCCAAATGGTATAGCAGTAGAAATCAGAAAAGGTTAACAACAGCCAGTGAGACCAGCCAGAATTCTATCAGCAACAAGCATACAAACATGAAATAAAAACTGCACCAGCTATTCCTAAGGAAGTCTAAAATGACATAAGAGAAAACACTAAGAAAAAAAAAAAATATATATATATATATATATTGTAGTCCTGGGGTTGAACTCAAGGCCTTATGCTTATCAGGCAGGCGCTCTACCACTTAAACCATGCCTGAACCCTTGTATATGTAGTTCTTTTTTTTGCAGTGCTGGGCCTTCACCTTGAGCCACTCCGCCAGCTCAATTTTTGTGAAGGGTTTTTTGAGACAGGGTCTTGTGCACTATTCGCCCGTACTGACTTTGAACCGTGATCCTCTTATAGCCACTCCGCCAGCTCAATTTTTGTGAAGGGTTTTTTGAGACAGGGTCTTGTGCACTATTCGCCCGTACTGACTTTGAACCGTGATCCTCTTGATCTTTGCCTCCTGAGTAGCTAGGCTTACAGGAGTGAGACACCGGCACCTGTCTACTTTAGTTCTCTTTTGATAGGGTCTCAAGCTTTTTGCCTGGGGTTGGCCTTGAACCTCCATCCTCCTACCTATATCTCCTGTGTAGCTGGGGTTACAGGCATACACCACTACACCTGGCTGAAACATATGGCTTGAAATACTACGCAGTCATTAAAAGTGTCTGTTGGCATAGAACATTCTTTACAATGTATTTGTTATTTACAACAAATTGGGTAAGAAGAGAAATTACAAAACAATATGAATAGAAGATCCCATTTTTGTCAGTATTTTAGGGAAGGCAGACTTTTTTTTTTTTTTTTTTTTGAGATAGGGTCTATGTAGCCAAGGCTGGCCTTGAACTTGAGATCCTCCTGCTTTAGCCTCCAAGTGCTGGAATTGCAGGCATGTACTACCATGCCCAGCTCATGTATCTCTTTTAACCTACACATATAATCAAAAGTACAGAAGGATGTTCACTTAACAGTTACATTAGTTCTCTCCTACGGCTGTAAAAATTACCACCAATGTGAACTGGGGCTGAGGGGTGGCTCAGAGACAGACCACTTGCCTAGCATGTGTAAGACCTTGGGTTTGATTTCCTAATTCTCCTGTTTCTGGGGGCAGAGTGCAGTCGGGTATTGGCAGGACATGCTCCTTTGGGGGCCATCGGGAGCAATGTGCCCTCACTTTCCCAGCCTCCAGAGGCTGCCTGTGCTCCTTTCCTGTGCCTTTGCCTCCACCCTCTAAGTGAGTAGCTCTGCACTCTCCCTGGCTGGCTTCTCTCTTGAGGACCCCATGAATGTATTTTGAGGTCATTTAGAAAATCGTGAACGCCATCCTCACCTCACAAGCCTTAACTCACACACCAACAAAGACTTTTCATAAGGTGGTACAGGCACAGGTTCCAGCCGTTATGACATGGACATCTTTGGGGGTCAATATCCTACCTACTACATTAACTGCATTCATATTTGTGGGTGGTCATGAGACAGGCTAGAAAGAAGGGAAAGAAAATCATTGGGACTCAGGTGTCATGTGACCTTTCCTAGAGGCAGAGCTCTTTTCAATAGCAAATCCCTTGCTTGAAACATGAATATTGATCACACCTCATGCATGTAATTAAAATACCTAAGAGCTAGCTTAAGTGCATGCCCAGAGTAAATCAAGTCTGTCAGTCAGCCTAGTCCATCCTACAGGGACCGCCCAGATTTCCCAGCCCCCTCATCTGGTAGGAAGCACACTGCAAACCTTATCTATAATAAACTTCATTATCTCCCTTACTACATCTCCATGTCTCGCCCAGATTCTTTCCACGTGGGATTCAGGAATCTAATCAGAGTTTCCAGAGATTGCCAGACACTACAACAATGAGACTATGGGAAATTTTTACTGTCTTTGCTTACCTGTATTTTCTTTTTTCTAAAGCCAACAGACATGATTTGTGCAACTTTTTAAAAGAAGTTTGCTCTTGGGGTGACAGAAATGTTCTAGGGCAGGGTTACGGTGATGGCCATACAACTCAAATTTACAATCATTGGACTGTATATGTAAATGGGTGAATTAAGTGGATGCAAAACAAAAAACAAAAGGGGTTTTGTACTTACTTCCAAACAGTTCAGCTAAAATAAATAAAGAGAGAAAATATTGCAAAATGTTGACCACCAGGGGCAACAAAGTGGAATTCACAAAATGCTTTCAACTTTTGTGTAGGTTTAAATATTTTCATAAGGAAAAGGAAAATGAGCAGGGGAAAGAAGGAGATGTAACAGAACGCTCTAGAAACTAAATCCACTCAGGCCATGAAGTCTTAAGCTGGATGTTAGCTCACTGTTTTGCCTCTCTAAAAGCAGCCGTGAATGAGGAAGCAGGGGATGCCCACCTCTTCCTTCCTCTCCATAGCCCAGGTGCGGGGGGACCACAATCCTTCTCCTCTCTCCGATGCAAACACCGAGTAAACCTTCATCCATCCCAGGAATCACGTAGCCCTGCCCAATGTACGTGTCAAAGGTGCGATTCCGCGAGTAGCTAGAAAGGAAGAGATCGAAGAAAGAGGTAACTTATGAGGGGCACGTGGCAGATGTGGGAACCAGAAAGCAACAGGACCACAGATGCCTCCAGACCCTGAAATAGGAAAACCACAGACTCTGAAGCCGCAGCCAGGAAGCTTGCTGTCTGCAGTGGTAAGCACGGGAGCAGGAACATGTTATAAATGCAACGTGTGTACGAGAAGCAACCACATAGAAATGGAGCTATTGTATACTTGGTGACCATGTCAAGTTCATGAAAAAAAAACATCAAGGGAAGCTCTTGTCAAAACTTAGAAAGAGTCACAGGGCAATAATCCCAATTTCTTGAGTGAATAGCTGTGTGTGTGTGTGTGTGTGTGTGTGTGTGTGTGTGTTGTGATGGAGCCTAGGACCGCACACATGCTAGGCAAGCACTTTACCACTAAGACAATTTTCAGTACCAGATATGACTATTCTGATTGCCAGAAAAGTACATCAAGAACAACTTAATTCTGCAGACTGTACCACAGCCAGATGGAGCATCTCAACTATACCTCTGCTCACCCAGCTACCTGGGCCTTCCCAGTGCCCTGGTATGACGCCCAGGTGCTTCTGCTGAGTGCAGGGATCCAGCCTATGTCCAAGTTGTCTACTGAGTCTGATTACTATGAATATAGTGAAAGAAGAATTATTTCCCCAAAGCCAGGAGACCCCAGAATAAAAATTTTAGAATTCATATGACGATTTTACTACCAAACTCTGGACCACCTATTATCCACACTCCCTGTCATAAAACAGAGCTGGGGATGTAGATCAGGGGGAAAACTCTTGCCTCACATGTTGGAGGCCCATTCCATCCCTACACTGCAGAATAAAACAAAACAGTCTTGAAAGAGCCAGTCAGTTCCACCCTCATCATTAAAGGATTGCTGCCTTAAGGAAGTAGGCCAGGAAGAAGGGAGGGCACCTCCTTCTCCACACTCAGCGATCACAAAGCCAAAGGGCTTAGGAGGTGACAGCATCGGGTGACCAGAAGTAGGAGTGGTCCATAACCCTCAGAGAAGACTGTAGAGAAGCACCTCACCCCCTGTGGAGAACAGCAGTCTTCAGAGCAGTGCCAAACCTCCTCCTGGCACTGGCCAGGAAAGGAAAGGAGGGGGCCTGGCTCTCACCTTCCCCAGGTTACCACCACTCCAGAAGGTACCTGGTGAACACCAGCAATATTCGGTCCACTGCTGGGCATTTAGGGAACAGAAGGTACCAACAAGATGGGGTCCTGATGAAGCAACACACAGGGAGAGGTAGCAGATGCCTGGGGTAGGGGGAAGCAGGTGAGATAATCAGTAAAGGTTCCAAGGGGCTGGGGAGAAAGTGGACACAGAAGGGTTTGGGACCCACAGTGGAAAGAGCACAGGGAGAAACCACAGGGTGAGTCGGAAAGAGTCCCCAGAAGTGAGACTAGAGGAGCAGGGTACACCTGCACTGTGGTAAACCTGGAATAACTGAATGTCAAAGACTTGTTCTCCAGTGGGAAAGGTGAAGACTGTAAAGTTGTCCACGTCCATGCTCTCCAAACCAATTTATAAATTTTAAAGCAATTCCAATCAAAATCCCAGCGATGTGCATGTGTGTGTGGGGAGAGAAGAGTTAACTCATCAAAGTAATTGTAGGCATAACGTGTGGTGCATACCAGTAATCCCAGCACTTGGGACTCTGAGGTGGAGAGATAAGAGGTCAAGGCCAGCTTGGACTGCAAAGTTAGACCCTGTCTCAAAAAAAAAAAATAAATAAATAAAAAGTAACTCTATAATTCATTTGGTGAAGGAAATAACTAAGAATACTGTTTTGAAGGTATAGTACATAGCTATCACTCACGTAAGAAATTAAAATAAACTGGGTGCCAATGGCTCACAACCATAATCCTAGATGCTCAGGAGGCAGAGATCAGGAGGATCAAGGTTCGAAGCCAGCCCAGGGAAAAAGTTTGTGAGACCTTATCTCGAAAAAAACCACTTAGTTTAAAAAAAAGGGCCGGGGAGTGGCTCGAGGTATAGGCCCTGAGCTCAAACCACAGTACCAC